TATATATATATATATATATATATATATGTGCTCCATCCCCACAAAATACTAGTCAAAATAATTTATTATACGCTGCTTAGAAGCACAACTAACTTGAGTCGAAAAGAATACAGTTTTCTACATGGGGAGGACAAAAGGATGACTAATCTGAAATTTGAACTTTGAACTTGCTTCGGATGAGAATAGAGTTCTCTTTGTATTTGTAAAAAAAATTGAAGTATGACTAATTTGTAATTTGAACTTTGAACTTGCTCCTACGAAAGAGAATAGAGTTCTCTTTGTATTTGTTAAAAAGGTTGAATTTTCGTTGCTTTTGGGAGATATTAGCAGACATGCAGACAAGATAAAGAATTGGGTAATATCATGAAATCAATAAAAAAATTCTTGACTTCTAAATTTAATACATTTTAGTTTTTTTAAAAACTTTTGAGTAATTTCCTAGATTACTTTTGAGAATTTGGGTATTATATGAAAGTCTTATTCAACAAATTTTGTTTTAATTTGAAAAAGTCTCTAAGTCTTACGCATCTTTAAAAAAATCGCGTCCCGAACACCCGGGCGTACGCCCCGAACTGCCCGGGCGTACGCCACTTGAGACTCTCGCCTCACACCATCGCCTCGGGGTGTTTTTGGTACGGTTCGCCGTAGGGCTCGCCCCGAAAACGCCTTTTAAAACACTGGTTTATTGTAATCAAGAAAAAAGGTGTTATTTATGAGTTTTATTTGCATGATGCACTCTGATGATAACACTATTACTTCCAATTAAGGAGAGATTATACCCGCTTATGAACTTCCGAAATTTTGTAACTCAATGCTGGTCAAGAAGGATATTGATCTGGATAGTGTACTAGATCTCAGTTAATCATATTTCCTTACATGTTTAAAGTTTGCGATATTGGCGGTTATCTGATTATTAATGATCTTCGCGGTCTTATAAAGTATGCCGGTCCATGTAATAAATATTCCCTCAAATGATTTCTTAATTAAGTATGCTTCTATCAATCTTCACATGTGTGCATATGCCATCCACTTTTTTCTTTACTGTTTTCTCTGCAATTTTCTGGGAGCTGTGACCTCCGAATGTGACTGGTCTCTACCTATAAAAAAATTTGAATGCGAAAATGTCTAAAACCAAACTAAATCCGAATTCTTCGAATCTATCTTAATTCTATTTGTTATCTAGAAATGCAAACTCATTTCTGTATCCTCTTTAATGGTGAACTGGTTATGAGTGGATATTACAGATTTAGGGATGTTACACCTCTAAATTATGACCAGATACCTCCAAACTATGTGGTTTGCAAATTTTAGACTTCCAACCATCTGTATATTATGATTGAAAAGCGTGGTTTTTACGGGCTACCCTCTTTTTTGTTTTTTTAATAATTTGTTTCAACATTCATGTTAGTTAAATCGGCATATTTGTGGAGCTGCATTTCCATTGCTTATTTAAACGAGCAGTCTCTCTACCAAGATTTTGATGTCTTTTCTTTGAGCCAACTCATGGAAATACTTGTTGACTCGCTCTGGCCTCACTCCTATCATGACCACTTGTACCAATTTCTTTTTTCATCTATATTTTGATTCTACTTCTTATTTGGTGGTTGGCTGGATACCCAATACCAATGATGAGGTATTTCTTGCTTAGACCTCTGAATTTTTTGTATTGACAAGCTAGGATTCCCTAACAGCTTGTTCAGAATGTGCATATATAAATGACCTTGAATAATTTTCTACTTAGTTTAAAACAACTACACCTTGTTTTTGATAGGTTCTCATGTCTTGGCAGTTGGTGGAGTTTTCTATGCTAGAACAAGCAGTTGCATTCTTGTCTTGGAAAAGTCTTGAGTGATGAAACATTGCATGATTTTCCCATGTTTAAATGCTGTTGTACGATCCTTTGTTCTGTGATGGTATTTTATTTAAAGGTGTTGTAATGAATTTCTTTACAAGTTAATATATTATTTCTATGTTATGCTAATAACTGCATTAACTGTAAATCACTTCCATGTAATGAACTTTTGCAATACGTATCTTGTTCAATAGTGTGTTTAAGATATTGCAAGTGAAATGGTGCTAAATATTCTGTCAGGTAAATTATGAGGAGTTTGGGACCATGGGCACTGGTGTTTGCACCTGGAAATGAGGGAGAGGCAGCGGTGGCGATCTGAAGAGGATGCTTTATTGCGGGCATATGTGAAACAGTATGGACCAAAAGAATGGCACCTTGTATCACAGCGTATGAACACAGCCCTCAACAGGGACGCTAAGTCTTGCTTGGAAAGGTGGAAAAACTACCTCAAACCAGGGATTAAGAAAGGATCACTCACTGAAGAGGAGCAGCGTCTTGTTATCCATCTACAGGCCAAACACGGCAACAAATGGAAGAAAATAGCAGCTGAAGTACCAGGCCGAACTGCTAAAAGATTGGGGAAGTGGTGGGAAGTATTCAAAGAGAAGCAACAGAGGGAGCAGAAAGAAAACAATAAGGTTGTCGATCCAGTAGACGAGGGAAAATACGACCACATTCTTGAGACCTTTGCAGAGAAGATTGTGAAAGAGCGGAGTGTCCCAGGTTTACTTATGGCTACTTCTAATGGAGGTTTCCTCCACGCCGATGCACCAGCTCCTTCGCCACAAACTCTTCTTCCTCCGTGGCTTTCTAATTCCACTGCTACTTCAACCGTCAGATCACCATCTCCATCTGTGACTTTAAGTCTATCCCCCTCAACAGTGCCTCCTACACCTACGCCTACGCCTGGCATTCCGTGGCTACAGACAGATAGAGGACCTGAAAATGCGCCCCTTATTTTGAGCAGTTTTCCACATCATGGGGTTGCCCCTCCTTGTGGAGAAAATCCATTTGTTACTGAACTTGTGGAATGCTGTAAAGAGCTAGACGAAGGGCATCGTGCTTGGGCTGCTCATAAAAAGGAAGCAGCTTGGAGGTTAAGGCGAGTGGAATTGCAGCTAGAATCAGAGAAAATATGCAAAGTTAGGGAGAAGATGGAGGAAATTGAAGCGAAAATGAAAGCTCTGAGGGAAGAGCAGAAGGCAACTCTAGACAGGATTGAAGCAGAATACAAGGAGCAACTAGCAGGCTTGAGGAGGGACGCGGAAGCAAAGGAACAGAAATTGGCCGAACAATGGGCTTCCAAACACCTGCGCCTTAGTAAGTTTCTTGAGCAGATGGGATGCCAATCAAGACTTGCAGAACCTAATGGTGGCCGCTAAAGCAAGCTAAGCTAAGAATTCTTTTGTGTGTCCCTGGCCGCCTAAGACGGTTCTTTTCAAACTGCTACGACTTTTCTTACTGTAAACTTTTTGTTTGATCGCCTTTTATTTGGTTAACTATGTTTTCTTTTCTGCATGATACTGCAACTTGTATTTCTAGTATCTGCAAGGATTTCTTGCAGCTTTGCGACAGCATAATGAACCTATATCTTTCAGTAGTAACATATTAATAGTATTACTTACACAATTTCGTGTGGTTTTGCCTGCTTTTGAAGGGAAATAGGGGAAAGGGAAAAGGTAAGAATTTGTGTGGTTGTGGAAATTGCATGTTACTGTTTAGATAATGCCTAATTAATAATGCTAAAAGTCTCCTATGTTTCCAGAAGCTTGCATAGTGCCCCTTGACTAATTAGAGAAGCTTTATAAAGTGTCTTTAAGATGTCAAAAATTATTTGTGTTGTAGTAAGGCATCTAAATGAAATGGAGTAGCATAATTAAGTAGAGAGTTTTGAGTCACTAAATGATATTAGCTACAGCTCCGCTGGTTATTATTGATTTTCCATTTTTATACGGATTATCATAAAAAACTTTGTCTCAACAACAAAACTGGAGGTTCTCTAACCAAAAATTGAGTTGCTATTAAAAATAGGTTTCTTTTCATTATTTGAGTAAAAAGCTTTGCTGAATATTCTAGTCTAGGCTTTAATCACCTTAGTTGCATTCAAGTCTTAGCTATTACAATGATATAAGTGCCTTTGGAAGAGCCTCTTTTCCAAGAAGAGAGGGAGACGAGTAAAATAAAATCTACCCCTTTTCCAACACTCCAGACTAACCTCTCCTCTTTGAAGTCTATGAAAGTTGAAGTTTTTGTGCAAAGCAAAAAATCGACGTGGAATAGAATTTTAGCTAGCGTTTGATCATAGATTTGATTGAAACTTTAAAAAAAAAATTGTATTGAAAAATAATTTTTGAAAGTTGAAATTATGTTTGGATATATATTTGACTTAAAAAAAAGTATGAAATTTTGTGAGTTAGAAGAAAAAATTTCACCCAAAACAGGCCCAAACCAATTTTTAGAACTTCGAAATTTTTTCTTCTAACAATATTTCAAAAACCAGTCAAATGACATGAAGAAACAATGTTTTTAATTTTTTTTTTTTTTTTTTTTTT